AGATGATAAAAGCTGTAGTAGCCCAGTGAGAGAACAGTTGCTTCTCGAACGATTTGAATCTCTATGGCTGCATGTACCTATCTACTTTTGACACGAACATGAAACACGAAATAACAAGGTTACTAAACTTTGGAAAGCATGTGAAACCCTCCCCGTTTGAGTAGACTCGTGCTCTGCAGTGAGATGTATAATGATGTTGTCTTGATTGTCTCTTCTTAATCGCTTCCTCACTGCTAAGGATCGTGACTCCACTTCATCCTGCCAACCATTTGCCTCCATCGGTTACGCTCACTCGCATGATGTAGTACAGCGCTGACAGGTATCTCCAGTTGCTCGGAGATCTAATCCGACCACCTTTTGGGACTCCTGCCCCTAGGTCTTTTTCCCTCCACCTTCGCAGTCGCTATCAAACGTTCCAGGTTATCAGCATCTCTACGTGCCACGTGACGAAAATAGCGTATCACATGCTGCATGAAGACAGAAGTTGTGCAATCTTTATCTTGAGTTCCTCAAGTACAGAGACATTGGTGCGGCGGGCTGTCCACTTTACCCTTAACATTCTGCGCCAGCACCGTAATTCAAAGGCATCAATTTTTTGTCTGGCGGCAGCTTTCAGTGTCCATGTCTCTGCACCTTAAATAGAGATGGAGAAGACAAAAGTGCGAAATAGACGTGTTTTACTTCGGTTTCTGATATGCTCGGATATGCTCAATTGAGTCATTGTTGTCTTTTCCATCCCAATTGTCTTCGTATTTCAAGTTCACAATTGGTTATCAAAGAGACCAGGTATTGAAGCTGGTCCAGGGTCTCGTATTTATGCAGGAGGTTAGTACGTTGAATAGTCGCGAAACGGTCAATCACCATGAGCTTAGTCTTAGATTTATTTATAGCAAGACCCATTTCTAGACATTTGTTTCCAACCGATCCATCAGCTCCGCCATTTCAACTTCCGATGATGCAAAAAGGGTAATGTCATCTGCGTATCGGAGGTTAGTTCTTGTTTGTACATTTACAAAATACGTATTTTCGATAATATGTACATATCAACTTATGAAAATAAACTAAATATATTTTAACTTGAATCGAGAGATTTTATTGAAAGAAGTCTGGTTAAGTACTTACATTTGTGTATATATACATATATATACGAGTATAAAACAAATCATATAATGTTAACAGCAATTGAAAATTTTACTCTACAAATGCGAGCTCATCCCATAAAGGGATTTTTCCCAACCAACCTTTGAATAACGAAGAGAAAAGTTCATGGTTCATGGATTGGCAAAAAAAAGAATTGTATAGGGTCAAGAGCACGTGAAACTTGACACTTAAGATTTGAATACAACTCTATGCTCCAAAGTACAAAGTGTCAAGCTTGACGTGGTCTTACTGTACATGCTATATTAATTTTTTATTATTTAAGTATGACATAGATAAATTACTTACATCAAACGGACATGCAAATCTATATGTAATAAATAAACGTAGTGCATAATGCACATAAAATCTGTAGTAAAATAATTTAATAAAATAAAACTGTAAAAGAGACATTTGAAACGTAAATGAATGTAAATAATTTAATATTTTTTCAATATATTTTATTATTTATATAGCCAGTGGATGGTGTCTATTTTAATTTTCCATCACTAACATGAAAACCAGAATACTACTATTCTGTGTGTGGCGTAGACTACTTGAAAAACAATTAAAATTAATAATTACATCACCTATTAAGAGACATTAGTTCCTGTCTCCTAATCAGAAAAAGCAAGTAATAAAGAAATATACTGTATAAAAATATACATCAAGATGAAGCTGTGACATTAATTATTATCTCAATTAATATGTCTAGATTTATTCGTCCCCTTTAAACTTTTAATGTGGCTATTAATCAGTTGGAATGTGTAAAAACATATCATTTAATAGTTACGAATTGGCTTCACTAGCCAATGCCCGTGAATTCGTATATTTGTTGAATATTCTGCGAAGATAAAATGCACAATTACGTTTGCTTAAGTTTTTGTTTGTATAACATTTGGTAGTAGGTAAGCCGTCGGTACGTTTAGTGACTAAACGTTGATTCATGATTTAATTATTTATTTTGGGCATACAGGTATTTTTACAGAATTGTCCCAATACAATAGTGTATCCATTCTATTAAACTTCTTCTTTAGTCTTATTAGACTTCGATTAAATATCTTTTTTTTATGATACCAAGTGACAGAACGAACAAATTGTGCGCCTGGTGTTAGGCGACACGCGTGTCCATAGCAGTTGCAGTGCAGCGCAGAGCATTAAATCGCAAAAATCTGAGGAACATTGTCTCTACGTCTCTGTCTCCCTGAGACACAAGTTGACAAGTCCCATGTGACTGTGATTTCACCAGCACCCTGACCATTCTAAATCGAAACACAGTAATGCTCACTTTACTACTTGGCGGCAAAAATAGGTAAGGTGGCAGTAATTCCTTGGACGGACTCTTTCACAAGGAGCTCTACTGCTACTAAAAAAGTAATAGACGGCTATTTAATAGACAGTGATGTATTGATAGGTTTCGCTAGCTAAGTGCCTATGTTCATACTTATATAAATTAATTTATAAATAGTATTTGAAGTCGATAAGCAGAGTAAATTTTCAGTTTTATTATTCTATTTTCTTTCATTTCAAAACTAATTGTTGTTTTTGATTATCTTGTAGTTGCACAACTCTATTTAATTACTAATTGTCTTTTGCGACTAAATTATAAATTTCATCTAGAACATTTTATATTGGTCTTATTATAGACTTATAATAAATATTTATTTTACAGTTCCAAGCTGTTGATTTTCATGAATAAAATTAATTTATTAACATACAAACTCTCTACGTAAACTTTTTTATAATACGCAAAGTAATGGATTTCATTTTCATTTTGACATTTACACATAAGACCGCCAGGGTTAATAAAATGTCGCGGTCTTTCGAATTGTTAAATGTTTCAAAAAACAACAAGTTTATTATGACATTCATCTTTCGGAGCATTTAATAATCATTATGTGAATTGCATTTTAGTTAATTACGTACATGTAATAACATAAAAAAGGCATGTAGCTGTTTTTCAATTCATTTGTATATACGTTTAAAAGTCATTGACGAAATTTATTATTACCTTCAACAACAATAATGTTGTTTTATGTTGTTTTAAACAACAATATTTTAGTTCAAAGTAATATTTTTCTTGCAAATTGTAACTTATTTACAATTTGCATAAGTAAACGCGCCGATTTGGACAACGCTAACCGAATTTAATTTCATTTGAATGCATAGCGTCTGCAGCTCCAAAGTAAACTAAAATATTCTGTTCCATTTTACTGATAACATTATGAATAGGGACTCTAAAGGTAATAAAATGGTTTAGTATGCGCTTACGAGAATCGACGCAATATGGCTCGCTCGATTTTGGCTTTATTAATATTAATCACTTTAAACAAACTAAAATGTAAACTAATGACTTTTGGTCAGACGTAGAATTAAAAAGATAGGCTATTTGTCTAAAGCCAAACGTCAAAGCTCATTTAGTTCACGTCTAAATGTATAGATGGCGTTACGTGTCACATTACTTTTACGCTGCCAACAATTTGTTGAAAGTATGTCAAAGCCGTCTCATTTATTATCTTGATATTCGACTTTATTCTATCAGTGATTTATAACAATAAATAATGACCACAATAAATTTAATATCAATCAAATTAATTTATATAAACAATTTAACCCAGTTCTTTGGTTAATGATAATGTTATATTCAAGAATTGTATTAAACATTGTTTAGTAAATTATTTCATTTAATTTTTTATTGAGCAGTATTTTTTATTTTGTAGACGTAATTATCTTTTCTGAACGCAAATTAACTTACGTACTCTTCACCTATTTGTCATTTTAGCATTTGCGTACAGTATTTTTTTTTTCGATAAAATACATTTAAAAATTTTGCAGAATCTGAATCATTTTGTGTTTATATTCTAAATAAAAAGTTCATTAGGCAGCGCTTGACATAGAAACAAGATTTGTAAAATCTTCTAGTCTCTATTAACACCAATTCGGATGTAATTTTGTTAAAATACTTTATGATCTTGTTTGTCAGAATCCATTAAAGCTTAAGTTATAAATATATAAATAAATTAAATACTCCAATGATCAGAAATCGATAAAGAATATTGATAAACTTCTCAATGAAAGAGAGACTTTATAAAAATTTTCATTTACATAAGTTATACATACCTATAAATAAATTTGACACCATAACAATTATTTGAGAACAAAAATATGAACTTAATTAATTAAACAAACGCTATAATTTATATGAGCAAATGTTATTTGTTATCCGTTGCCTCTGTATTACATTACTCTACCACCTGTCTCTTGCCTTTTCGTGCCACCAATTATGTTCTTGACAGTTGAATTTTCGACATGACATGGGCCTAATCAAAATAGCATTTATTAAAAAAAACTTGACGTTAACCAAGCTGACAGCTCTCGGCTGTGTTATTAATGACGCTCAACGTCGGCTTAGTACTTTTTGCTTTTCAATGAAATAAATTATTTTGTTAGTCTTTTTTCTGTACGGTGGGTGGTAGTACTCGCGTGATACCGTCTTGTTTTATTATACTACAATCTCCGTTGACTGACGGCTCTAATGTATGCTAGAGGTATATTAATCAATCATTCTACTCTGTTTATTACTCTGCTGTACGAGAGTAGGAAAAGCACGTTTGATGTTGATAACATGTAATTTATTTACGGTATCCCATTTGATATGTTTTCTAATTGACATGGGAGCCAGGCCAGAAATCTTTTTCTTGCTATGCAAAATATAAATTCGAGAAAGCAAAACAGAAAATGGAAATTATGTCTTATTATAAATTTAACGACGATATAAAATTTTGTTTTCAACAGTAGCGTGCCATTTCTCTTTATAACTATGACTACAAATCTTTCAGGGAATTTTACAGCATTAGAGAAAATAAAAAATCTGTTACATTGGTATGTAGACATTATATTTGAAATATTTCATTTAATATTAAACATAGAGATTATTATTTACATCAAACATTTGGCTGTACAGAGTCCTCACAATGCTCAGACATCACTCGCTTAGAAGCAACTCCGTCGGCAAGTTAACTTACATAAATAACTATTTAAAATTGCACTATTCACTAAATTTGTCATAGCGATACACACCGCAGAACGTTTCATTAGAGTCTATCAATATCACAGAAGAAAATTGGACAATACAACATTAAATACATCAGTCCAATCAGTCCAGATTTGCACTACACTCTAATTTATTTATTTATTGGTGAACAGCGGCGGCACCGAGTCTTTGCCCGTACATCGCATAAGGTGAATAGAAAGGACCTAACGCGGGATTGAACGCACCATAAGGAGAGGCACCGAGACCAGCAGGGAGACCAGTCTTTGAATAAGGATGGTACCGACTGGCTGAGAGTGGACTAAGAGGCGCCGTCGGATACGCACTTCGGAGACCGGCAGTGGTAAATAGAGGATTGAGTGGGTTGAGCAACGATGCTTGTGTTGAAGTAGCAGTAGATGGTGTTGTACCATCAGTTGTGTGACTTCTCAAATGTTGCAAGAGTTCCTCAGAATTTCCAAATCTCTTTCCGCAGTATGATTCTCCAACAATCCAATTGCAAACATAAGGGCGGCTTAGTGGGGGGTATGGGAGACCTCCGGCGGTGGCGCCTTGCTGGGACAGCGCCATTGCCATCGCCAGATTGTATTTTTGATGTTCACATTGAGTACATCCCGCCGGGCATGATCCATTGCTCATTAGTAAATGGTGGTTATTGACAGAAAATTGACATCCAGTACAATAAGGGTCCTTGCATACAGGTATTAGTGTTTCACCGCCGGCAGGCGTTTTGACTCTCGCGTAGCCGAGGTATGGATTTGGCGAAGATCCTGGGAAACCTGCAGCAGCTGCTAGCATGGCTGCATGATGAGCACTGAATGGAGCTCCAGCATAAGGCGGTCTGAAGGCTGGGTTAGCATGTTGCTCCATTCCAGGTGGGCAGCACAAGCCGGCCAATGGATTGAAACCAGGTAAGCCAGGTAAATTTTTAAATGCACCCAAGTGGTCTTTCCCGTGTCCCAATACTTCCAAACCGGAACGAATAATTGGACTAGTTCCGGATGACCCAGCCGGTGAAGACTTTCGCTCGTTAGACGGACTACTCTTTCCATTTTCAGTGGTTGGAGGGGTCGATTTTCGTCCAGGTGTACTTTTTCCTGATTTTTTATCTTCCGAACTGTCTGAACTGGCTTTTGATGATGGACGGGTCTCTTCAGGCTTTTTTGACACAACGTTGGCTTCATAAGGCTTGAAAGCTAAGTGTTTATTATCTGGGGTAGAGCGCGGTTTTTCCGTTTTGGTTGCATTAGTTGGTGATGAACGATTAACTGGTTCACTGTTAGCACTGTTCACTGGTTTCTTCTTATCTAGCGACGGAAGCAGAGGCTTCGTCGGCAGCGTATCCGCGCCGATCTGGCTGCAAGTTTGCGCGAGAAGCGCAAGTGGGCTTTTCTTGGAATCCATCTACAACAAAAAAGAAACCTTTAGTTTTAAGAATAAAAGTCAAAGCTAAAAGTTGATTTAAATAATAATAGCACTACTTTTTTCTAAAATTAAAATTAACAATTTTTTTTCCAAAACTTTTATAAACTTACCGAAGACTGAAGTGGAGATAAATAATCAGGCTGCAAATACTGGTTTGGATTGGTAGTCATCATTCCACCGTCTTCAAGCACCACCATTTGGAGATAACTTTACGATCACTTGTAAACTCCACACAGTACAGTCACGAAACACTGGAAGTACAACTACTCTGTGACACAGGTACGCGAAGGAATAGTTGAAACACGTGCATCCGTGGCGGCGGCCGAGACAACTATGAGAGACGGGACCCCACCAATGCTCGACGTACCTCAGCCTCTTCACCCCGCTGTCGCCAGACAAAGACAGAACTATCCGAAGACTTTGTTAGAGCGAGAACATTATATCTCTCCGCTGCAGCGGTCGGCTATAAAAAAATAAAGCGGAAACGACACATAGCTGCATTGCGGTAGGGGAAAAAGGAAAGGCGGTATGGACGGCAGCCGGGTGCGGATTGAGACGTGCGATGGTGTTGGTGGCTCGCCACCCATGACGGCTCGCTTTGAGCGCGCCGCGCCGTGCGGCGGCGTGACTGCGCCATCTACCTGGCCGTGCGCCCGCTCCCGCGCCCGCACCACTACACTCCAAAGCACTTTTTGTTTCATGCCACTTTTATTATGCCCCCCGACAGCAGCTCCTTTCTTTGCAGGCGTCATCGGTACTTTACTGCTGACATATTCAAAACTACTTACTCTTTTACGAGCTTGCTTTGTTCCGATGCACCTCGCAGTTCAAAGGGGAAAATTGATATGTTTCACCAGAATACCGTTTTCTATGAAACCGTTTGATGTGTCAACGCGCGCTTGTTTTACAACGCGATAACTTTGTCTTTACCCGGAAAGTTGTGGTCATAAAACTATCGATAAACGTTCGAACGCCGAGCACAAAGGCGATATTTATTGACAGAGTTAAGTCCATAACGTTAATGTTAATCCGACACTAAAACCTGTCAAACACGACCTCGTCGGACCCTCCGTAGCGATCAAATTAAATATGTCAATTTGGGAACCCATATCAACAGCTGCGAGCGACGGCGGGCCCTTTAGAAATATTGCTTATTGTGTCTAAACAAAGATACTAAGTATAACGTATGGGCGGACGACAGAGGTCGTAAATAACGCGGCGGGCCGTAATATATTTGACAGTGCGCGGACACGCGAAACAAAAAAAAAACATGTTTATTGCGAGACGGGGTCTCGTGGACCCGCGTTCTTCTATAAATTAGGAACGCGAACGGATTCTGTATTTGTTTAGTACAGTCGAAGTTGAATTTGAGCATTTTTATTTTAGGTTTTGAATTGACTAGAGCAAAGTTTTTTTTAACTTTTGAACACTCGAGAAGTTATTTACAAATGTATTTCTTTTGCTCAGAACCTTGCACCTTTTTTGACAATAAACCATTCAAGTCTAGTATCAGTCTGAGTCTAGGACTGGCTTAGTACGTGTACAGAGTTCATTGTTATCACTTGTTGGACGCTATTGAAACGTTCGTGGCTGGGAATTTGTACAAGCTGCAAATTGTTTCCCATGTTTATTTGATTACCATTCTCGCTTTTGTTGTGCAAATAAAGTTTATTCCATTTAAGGGCGTGGATATAATATTGAAAAGGTACACGCACTATCGTAATACAAGTAGAAATGCAATAAGTGTAGTTTACAATGCGTATTGCAATTGCCGTACAAATGTCGCAATAGGTCTTGGATAGACCAAATCACGATTCATATGAAAATGAATGATTTAGTATGTCGTTTTGCAATTCAAATGAATAATGTAGATCAATGAATATACATTTCAACTTACCAGTTAATTTCCGAATTCGACTACAGAAACCTATTCAAGTATCCTCTTTAAATTTCATAACATAGCTTAAATATATTTCTATCACTTTTTCTAAATTGCATTTTAGAACAGTCAAGAGCACAACTTGATATTTTGTACTTCGGATCGTTTTTAACCGACTTCAAAAAAGGAGAGGTTCTCAATTCGACTGTATGTTTTCTTTTTATTTGTATTGGCATTTGTAAACCGATTTTGATGATTCTTTTTTGTTGGAAAGATGGTATCTCAGTTGTGGTGGGAAACTAGGGCATGAATGACTTTTGAGGTCGGTTTTTTTAGTACTGTAATAGGGGTATAGCTCTGAGTGCATTGCGAGAGGTACTTCTATGAATTTAAACTGTAATAATCTTTAAAATATACAGCCAGAGATTCTACTCATAGAGTACAGCCTAGTCTATAGTACTCTGTACTGAGATTATTATAGCAAGCGTTTGGAGTTGAATTTTAAGAATCAAGCTTGATATCTTTTTAGAAAAATGTTTTTAAACAAAACAGACATCTATCTATAATACAATGTAACGAATACTACTCCTAACGAAAATCTTCCCAAAGGGTTAAAAGTGGTAAAAATATAGAATTATATCTTTTAACCACAAAATTATCACGCCAAACCTTGATAAAAATTAAATATATATACCTATATTAAACAGATAGTGAATGTTTTTTTTTCTAAATGGGACGAAACGTATCACTGTTTGTAAATAAAACTTGACCACATTGTAACAGGTAATAGTTTTATAAAGAACGTTATTAAAAATTTCGATCAAACCTTCGAACGCATGACCGAACATAATGAGTTTACGAAACACAATTTCCGAACCCAATTAGACGCCAATAACCAAATTTGTTCACGTGTAAACAACCACAATTATTACGACACGACTCTACAATAATAAAAAATAGGGAGGAAAAAATGGAATCGGCCGGGATTCGAACCCTGATAGAGCGCCATTGTGAGCGGCGGATGCGGCAAAGATCAAAAGACACCGAAAAGTTTACACCGACAACAATATGCTTTGTAAAATCAGTTAATCATGTTCAGTTTAAGATTGATATTGAATAAGCACGCTTATTTATCATGTCACAATAATGATACGTTTGGTTATGAAAAATAACAATACATATGGATGATAAAGTTACATTAACTATTATTTATATCTACAAATACACGATTGTATGTGTAAGTACTGAGATTAAAAACAAAAAAAAAGGGTTTAAAAATTTAAACAAAAAATTGTTTTTGTATTCTTTTTTTTAGTTTCACCCTCACCAAATTGTGCCAGAATTAAATTTACATTTTAAATTTAAATTTAGAATTAATTTCGTTCTTGACATATTAGTGTTGTTGTAGATCAACACATATAGACGTTTTAATTTATAATCAAGTGAGTTTTTAATAACGCTTATTTGTATTTTCCTTATTAATCGAAAAAATATATAAAGGGATCGTTATTTAAAGTGAATAAAATTTCGTACCAACGTATTCCAAATTCAGAAAGTAACTTGATCTACTGCTCAAGTTTTGTACCAAAACGGTACCGACGATACCAAATTACTGTTTACAGACGGTGGTAAAAAACTTGACAGATACCACTCCGGCGTGTTTGTGATGCTTGACAGCTTTTGATGTATTCTGCCGTGCATTAACGTCTCGTTAATGAATTAGTGCCTTGAGGATTGAGCTCGGAGGTTGGTATTAAAAATAAAAAGGTTTTGAAGAGATCTCAATGCTTTTGAATTAAAGATGCTTTCTGCAATTTAAATAGACGAAAAAGTAAACAGTACATGGAATATACTGTTTGGGTATGACATTTAAATTTAATCTCTTTGGCTAAATAACTTGTTTTATTCTTAAATTATATTTACGTCTAATTAAAAATGTACTACTATCAAAGCGCTATTACTATGTAGGTAAGTTTTTGAATGACAACCTGGAAAATTAATTGATTCAATTATGTAGTATTTTAATTGTTTCTTTTACATTATATTGTGTCACAAAAATTGCAATACCCTCGTGCACGATTATGTGCGAAAACCTTTTTTTTAACCTAATTTTTAGACCTATCTTTAAATGCACATGTACGCAATAAATAATACATATCAGAAACAGCCCCATATTTTTCCACATTAGGTTTGATTGTAGTGACCCTCCCTACCGACCCTGAGGGCATACGAGAAGGGCACTATAACCTATACGCGCACATGTACCTTATAATATAAGTTCAGGTTCTGACCCCAGATCAGCCAGTGTACAGGGTTGTCACAGACCTCTGTCACTTGACTTCATCCGATTCCTCGAGAGGTTAGTGCCTCGGGTGAACCGTCCCGGGTGCACATACAGTACCCTCCCTATTTTCCAGGTAAGTACCTTAGTTGTAGGCACGCTCACTTCCCCTTGCGCATTGCACAACGCATTGCATGTATCAGAAACAAAGTAAATTATTTTCGTTGTTGACTTATCGGACTTTTTATATTCCTGTTTTTTTTTTCACAGCAATAGTATTTTACAACGAGCCTCCCAGCTAAGGCGCCAACTAGCTGAGCCATTTAACATTTTTAAACACTACAAATATTTTTTGTAAATTATTTTTATATTTTTATTGTGTTATTAGTTTTCGTGACCCTAATTCCGTTATTTATTTCAGCCATAAAGTTTATCTAGGCAAGAATATACGGATAAAGGAAGGAAAGTTCTTTGTGCATTATCATGCAATAAAATTGTTTGCCCTTGTTCCACATATTTTTGTAGACTGTGTTTTGTTTGAGGAATTTTTTTTGAATTGCCGAATTTTGTTATTTCACGCTTAAAGGAATTGTTAAAATTTTCTAGATTACAAAGACAATTACGAACTGACATATTTTTTGTCTTGATAATAAAAATTTTAGATGATTATCTTTTTTATAGATTGGTCTTTGTCTGGTAAAATTATCATCGAAAGAAACTAATGACTTTTCTGCGACAGATGTCACGAAATGACTTGAAAATTTTCACGCTCGCTAATTTGACTTTAACTATGATGAAATTTTTATAGCAGTTCACCGCCATATGTTTTCTCTCTATCTGCCTTTACTCGATTGAATTATAATATATAGCTTTCACGCATTTAAAAATGATTAATTTTAATAATATTAAAATTAATCATTTTTAAATATACACTTGACATATTTCCAACTTTTTTTAATATTTCAGTTACTTAATTGTATGATGTTACTTACTAGTATAATGAACGATACACATCACTATGTTACACGTGGAGTTGTAAATACAACTCATACTTTCTTGAATAAGCACTGCAAATCGTAATTAGGATCAGGTCGTTTGACTCCAGACGTCCTAAGAAAAAAACAAAAATTGTAGTAATGTGCCGGACGATCGGTCTCAAACTAGGGAATTCATCATCATCACTAACTCTGTTATTCATGCCACTGTCGAGCATGGGTCTTCTAAGTGAGTTGGAATCATCACACGTTTTCAAAGAGCTGTGTCGCATCTTCGAAGCGCAGGTTTCCACCTAAACCAAAAATGGAGAGCTTAGCAACTTTTTGGTATTTACAAAACGAACTTCGTCTAAATAAAAGAAA